ATGAATGAAGGTCTTACAGGTTTGGAAACGACATAAGGGTAAGTAAATCATGACAGAATTTTCATTTTTGGGTGAACTAATCCTTTAAGTAGTTTACCAAACCTTGTGCTGTTCCTAGCTGTGTCTCTCAGCCACTGCTCTGCATATTGTTTTATTAATTTGTTTATTTTATGACTCTTTCACAATATAATGTGTTTTTACAAGAGGTTGTTGAAGGATGGAGCAGTTATGAACTACATCCCTTGTGAAAAAAAGAAGTGTGCTTAATTGTATTGAATGTGCACTTATAATTTAGATAAATTTTCACTGAAGTGCATTTAAAGCAAGCACATTTTCATTTAATTGTAAATCACATGCAATTAAGTGTCCAAAAACATTGTTCACACTTACGTATATTCTTTCTTTAAGTGTATTATTTCCGTAATAAGAACTGTTTTTAAAAAAATTGGTAGTGTACTGAAGGGTTGACCTGACAGAAAACCCACAGCCTGTGAACAAGCATCTCTTTGCATTTGCATCTCATTTCACATGTAAGGAGGATATTTACATAGTCTTGAAAAACAAAAAAAACATGTAGTTTATTTTTTGAGGGGGAATGTGATTATGTGATTATAAGTGTTGAAACACAGGGGAAGATGATACAATTTAAATGATAAACTATGACATGGCCCTGCCGGCAGAAAACATAAATTTTGAAGTAATAAATGTGTGCACTTAGAACGACATGCTGAAAGTTATTATATTCTCAACTTTATGTTCCCACAAATGTTTATATAATGGCATAAAGGCAAAAAATCCAGCTATTGCTTGCCAACAATGTAGAGCATGAAAACAACATCAAGCAAAGTGAGAGGGAAGAGTAAACCACCACTGATGAGGAAAAGAGAGACATTCAAATTCAGAGGAGTGTAACCGATCAGATGGCTTCCAGACAAGAGAGCATTGTTTGTGACAATGTGGTTGGTTACATCACAAACCCCTCAAACTCTCTCTCCACACACCCGTCTCCTTCTCCCAGAGCTGATGCAGGCACTCAACAGCCTTTAATTTAGGCAGGGAGAGGCTCACAGCACAGATACGCTAACACACAGAACCAGCTTGAGCTGCTAGCTAACTAAATTAGCATGAGGTTAAGCCAAGGTCTTTGCTTAGTTTTATGCAAAACAAATTGTGGGTGAATCTCATGAAAGACCAGGTCACATTGCTCCCCAAAATCAAACTAAAAAAAAACTTGTTTAGGGTATTAGGACCATTGATTTTTCACATTGCAGTATTATTTTAATACTAAAATAATAATAATAAATGAATAAATAAATAAAATATTCACATTACTGTAATGTGAAAAGAAAACAATAATACATTATTAACATTGTAATGTACACTACCGTTCAAAAGTTTGGGGTTGGTTAAAGATTTTTTTCAGATGTTTTTTATTTAAGTTGTTCATGCTCAACAAGGATGCATTTATTTGATAATAAAAACAGTAATTATTGTTAAATATCATTACAATTTAAAATAACAGTTTTCTATGTGAATATATTTTACAATGAAATGTATTCCTGTGATGGCCAAACTGAATTTTCAGCATCATCACTCCAGTCTTTAGTTTCACATGATCCTTCAGAAATCATTCTAATATGCTGATTTGCTGCTCAAGAAACATATTCTATTATTATCAATGTTGAAAACAGTTGTGCTGCTTAATATTTGAGTGAAAACAGTGATACATTTCCCCCTAAGATTCTTAGAAATAGAAAAGCTTTTGTAACATTATAAACATTTGTCTTCCCTTATTAATTTAATGCATCCTTGCTAAGTAAACATTAATATCTTTAAAAAAAAACAAAGGAACAACAACTTTTGAACAGTACTGTATTATTTTAATATCAATACTTAAATTGCTTTTATACATAATGGGGATTTATGCTGTCTTTAAGACTGATTTTGGGGTGAAATGCATTCTAGAGATATTTTCGCATTGCCGTAATCAGGTTTTTGTGTTGAGAAAAGTCTGTGTAAACAGTTCATAAAATCAAATTCACTACTCACACTGGTTACTGTTGTTGCGTAACTTCCTGGCTTCTATGTCATCGGACCGCTCCATGGAAATCTGCAACTCTAAACAGAGAATAAAATAGGTTATTTACTGAAGTCGGCATGAAACGGAAGTTGCAATAATCTTTTCTTCCCTATTGTGGTGTATATCTGAATGAAACAGCTTCTCGGACATGAAAAAATGTAGGGAGTGACTAGATTTTGTCCATCTGGAATTGATTGGATTGTTGTGGTTTGCTATTGCTGTGATCTCATGTGAGTGACATGTTGTCCCGTTCTCGCATCAGTAAACAAATCATCAGAGAAGAGATCATTATTATTTTGATTAAAGATTATGAGGGCACATTAACAATAAAAAAATAAATAATGATGTCATGTGCATGGATAAATCATCTATAATTCATGGTGACGTTCAAATTTGCAAGAGGCCACTGAGAATGAGACGCCGTATATTTCACAAAGTTCAGGACTAGACATTGAGCAAAAGAAAGAGAAATGTTGTTGCCACCCACTTCCATCACTCATGGAATTGAAGCTGCTCTTTTGGCTGTTCTTTTTGCTGTTCCAGGTGTCATTGCCGCTGTCCCGCTGCAGCTCCTGCGGACGAATTTGGGGCTTCTTCTTACTCTTGCGCGTACTGATGCGAACAATCTCTCGCACAAGCCTGCACTCGGCCTCCTTCTCCTCCATGTTGTGTTCCTGCACGATATCCGAGATCAGTTGACTGATCTCCCGGGAACGCCGCAGGAACATGGAGTCCGTGGTACACTTGGCCAGCTCGTTGATCTCAAACTCAGAGAAGACCTCCATAAGCTTCCGGGTGATGAGTGTGTCCACATCTTCTGTCTCGTTGCCATTGATAAAGTCATCGTCCCGTAAGCTACTGAAGTAGACTGGACTGTCCATCTCTAATTTAGAAGTGGAAAACGACACACACTCCTCATCTTCTTCAATGACGGATGTGTCCACCTTGACACCACCAATACAGACGTCAGGATAGAAGCCATTCTCAACCTGTGGAGGACTTGACAGAATCTCCACCGGTGCGTTAGGAGCTGCGCTCGAAATGAGACAAGGCAAGTGCCGACATACGCGATACAATCCACAAGTCAACACGCTACAAAAAAGCTTCCTGCAGCTACCCACGGACGCACAAGGTCCGCACATACACGTCCCCGAAACGGGCTCTTCTTTGGCAGGGAGAAAGCTTACTGTCTCCGGCCCAGTCGTATTTCCATTAGCATCCTTGTTGACTTTGTGCCTCACTCCAATATGCTGGATCTCAACCTCCACGGGGTCGACAGATCGTTCTCGGTATGGCCCTTCATCAATGGGACCACTGGTCCAGGACGGGGTGCTCTCCATAGGGACAACACTCGGCCCAGACCGTCCTCTGGTGGCTGCTTTTTGCAGTTACCTGATGCTGGACTGTGACCTCAGGGTCTGTTAAAGAAAAAGAAAAACATAATGGGAGAAAACTGGGAGGGGGAAGAAGGTTTTACCTTACACTTTCAGTCTCAGTAACAAAACTGCAGCATACTGTCCCAAATTTCCTTTAGAAATGTAAACCAACCAGTTTAAAAGCTTTCTTGACTGTTGTTGTCATTGTTAATAAGATAGTGAAAGTAAAACGTTCACCTCAACACCATCAACACATAGAATCTAAATGTTCGTAGTGTAACATAAAGCCTTATGAAAGTGAAAAATATAAAGTAAAAAATTATATATTTTAAAAACAAGCAAGTTGTAGACTACAGATTTTTGTTCTACTTCTGGAACAATTAAACTTTTAAAAGCAGTCTTAGTCTAAGTAAATATTTAAAAACATAATTATTTCCAACTTAAATGTAGGCTAATACAGATTTAGATCACAGCAGATTAGACAATTTAATCTTTGTGATGCAGAGTAAATTGCATCCATGCAGTTTAATATTAATATCTAGGCCGCCATTGATTATTTACAAATTCCGAAAAGATACAAAGTTCGCACTGTCCCCAAACAAACATGCCGCATTTATCTTTCAAAATTCAGTCAAATGAACGATACGAGGTTTTAGGAACTAACTAGTACGCTACTGTGTAAAACACTGTGTACAACATCAGAACATCTTGAGTAATATTAATACAAACTTTGTTAGTTTACTCACAACATATGGGGGAAATGTCGAAGTCTGACGAGATTCTTCCGGAAGTCCGGAGAGCTCAAAAAGGTTACTCGACTTAGATTTCAATATTACTCCACAAATATACAGCCGGTTCTCATTCAGTCGTCCTCAAACTGTATTTAAAAAAAAAAGAGCAAAAGGTGAAGAATGATTTGACCGGAATGCTCGTCGTACCTGCTTCTACAAACAAGTAGATCTCGCAGGCTACCTGATTCTACAGGTACATCAGGACATGGACACAAGTGACGTCACTTGAAAAGTCTCACCCATTGTTTCATTGACTGTAAATCAGATCAAAAGACGTTTGCAACCAAGTGTACACGTATATTTGAATAAAACAAAGTTAACCTTCGATGTATTTTGAATTGGATAGTTAATCTACATTTTATGATAAGGTAACGCAGCGCTGAGATTTTTTAACCAACAGATGGCGTCAACGCTCCTCTACAGTGAAGTGGATTAACTTTTTCTCCTTCCGAAGTAGGACTAGTAAATAATTTAGGAATAAATAGCTACAGGCCTATCTGCAGCCAATTTTACCACACCAAACTCTTTACTTGCATTTCTGCGGTATAGAGCTTCCAACAGCAGCTGTGGTGATGCTGTCATTAAACAGCAAGAACATAACCAATTTCTTCTATGCATTGTAAGACAAGTAGCCCGTCTTAGTCGGACAGACATAAGTATTCAACTCCAAACATGCCCATTCATTTATGAAGTCAAATGTCACATTTATATAACATTTTTGACAGGATTTGGAAAGCATTAAACAGATTTTGTGGGTTTAAAGTCTTTATTAATATGAAAATGTACAGTCTTCGAAAAGGTGGTGAATCAAGAGTCATAAATTGCCAAGACAGTTTCCTGTGTCCACAGTTTCTATGATCACTGAACAGCAACGCACTGGATCAGTCAGAGCATCCTATAGTCCTTGCAGAGACCAGAGCCTGATGACTGACAGCCTCCCCAACACACACCTAATCAAGGCTGCAAGAATTTGAAAAACCATTAGTGTTGACATTCGAGAATAATGCAAGTATGCTATTAAAAACAAACGAAGGTTTTCACTGGCTTCAATGCCATGTTAGGGGCCATGTTCAAAAAGGTATAGGCTACTAAATTTCTGCTGTACGCATTTTCTACACAGATTTTCTTTATGCTACACGTCGAATACCCCAATGACCTACTACAGCTGCCAAAAAGTAAAGATTTTAGTATGTCATGTGGAATACTGTACATTATCAATATTGCTGTTGTATTGAGGTGTGAAATTTCAAATACAACTGGACTAAATTGAACTTGTGACAGTTTAACTAAATTGTGAAATCCATCTGTAAAGTTGTGAAAACGAGCATTCAGCGGTTTGAAATGTTAAATCGCATTATACAGTTACACAACTGTTACCAACTATATAGTGGTCATATAGTACACTGCATGAATGAAGTAAACTACAATCATATTCTGAACATAGCCACAAACATCCCGAATTACAATTAGGAAATGAGACTGCCCACTAGATAAAGCAAAGACAGATTGCTGGGATGCTGTAATAACCATGCCACTTTTGGACTACAGTATTGCTTGCAGAGTGCAGATCACTTGCTGGTAAACACCAAAACAGACAGAGCAATTGTACTTACTTTATGGCAGACGTAAAGAACTGCTTCTAGATGGAGAGGTTCACATCCTGGAATTTGACTAGGTCCTCTTGACCAAGACCTGCAGGGCTATTTTGGGTCACCTCACATTTAGGAGCTGTGGATTCCAGCCTGTTAACTTGAGGCTGGTTTTGTTCAGCTGTGGCAGAAGGAACAATGTTATTTTCTGACTGAAAATCATATTTTAAACATGCAATGAGATTATGATTGCGGTGCACTTGAGCAAACCTTGTCTGTAGTTGCTGGAAAGTATAGGAAGAATCCTTCGGATGGAACCTTGGTCAAACTCACTTGGAATTGCAGTGATATGCCTAGTGTAATCTGTATTTCCTTGAGATACAGTGAATTGGCTCTGGACTCCTTTGGAACCATGATATCGAGGAGCTGAAGAACCAATAGGCGTATGTACATTTTGACCTGGCCTCTGGCCCATGGAACATGGAGGGAAGGAACTTTGGAAAGCACCACTGCTAATGCCACCAGAAGCCCGTTGGTTCTGAAAATTACCAAAGCTGCTTGTGGGTGGTTTATTAAGCCGAACACGGACTGTATTGATCTTATTAGCTCCAGCAATATTGGGGTTAGTGGCACTGAATCCTAATTCACTTCTAGAAGGTTTTGAGGGCCTAGAATTTGGTTTGTATGAGGTCCCCTTCACAGAAGAGAAGGAAAAGCTAGGATGAACTTTGGGTTTTTTGGATTCTGGTGTACTTTGAACATTTGTAGGACCCTGCATTATCCTGATAGCTCCAGAACTGGCAATTGAGGACTTTGACACATTATGTTGAGCTCGACTTTGAGAGGGGTACATGGGCTTATAGTTTTGACTAGGCTGAGCATGGAAATTGTAGGTCTGTTGGAATTTGGGGAGAGTAGCTTCATAGTGAGGTGGTAACTTGTTTCTATGAGCACTTTCTGGGGGACTGAGAACCACCTCACCAGAGCTGGTAATTGGAGATTTATCAACGTTGTCTCTGCAGTCATTTTTGGAAGGTTTTCTTAGCGCAGGACTGGGACTGTATGGAGTACCACTCATTGAGTAGTGAAGAGGTTCATTCCATGACTTGCCCTGACTACTGGCAGTCAAATCTCTAGAGGTCTGACTGGACTGATAGGGGTCAACATGACTGGGAACAGAATCTAGGCGCCCACGACCTTGAGCACTTCCTCCACTCTGAACTACAAAGACTGGCCCCGAGCTAACAACTGAAGACTCGAGCTCACTGTACTGAATTCCACTACTAGAGAGTTTTCTTGGATTTATACTTGAATACACAGGTGTTCCCTTCAGCAATGGGCCATAACTGCTACTGGCTGTCTGGACTTTGTTAGTACTTTGTCTCCCCTTAGATGAACTATGCTGAGGGGACATCTGACTTGAGCTAGAAGTTAATCCATGATTTGGGTCTCTAGTAACTTCAGAGTTGAACTCATGGCCAAATGCATTTTTATGAGCATTCACTACAAAGATCCTGCTAGATCCAGATGTTCTAGTATAACTAGATTCACCTCTAGAGGGTTTTAAGGGCTTAGGTTCAGGTACTTTTAGTGTTTTCATTAAGGTGGACCCACCCTGATATGAAGTAGAAGCAAGTCGGCCACTAGGCTGGACATTTTTGAAGGCATCAGTAGCTGTACGAGAGCCATATTGAACAGAGGGTTGTCCAAAACCTGACCAGTCATATTTTGGAACAGAAGCAGAAGGCTTAAAGTTAATCATATTTTCTTGATTGTCACTTTTAGCTGGAGTCTGACAATCTTTTGAATCAGATCTTATATTTGAGCCTGCAACTAATCTCCCTTTATGATAATTGTAACTTCCATGGGCACCTTGATGGTGGGGCAGGTGAACAGAACTGTAGGCAGGGTCATTCCGACTTCCCATTTGTTTCACCTCAGGGACAATCACTGGGAAAATACGAGTTGAAACTCTTTGCACATTAGCAGTTGGCATGCTCCCTGTTGAAAAAAATAAAGTACACAAACAGCATGAGACTGCAATGTTTCAGATAAATATCTGAAGTGTGTTAGGCCTACCTTCATAATTCCCCAAACAGGTTACACAAGCAGGAAACAAGGCAAAAAGAATTCTGGGGCGAAAAAAGCAAGTCAACCATTTGGTAGAGCAATGTACAGGTTCAGTCAGCTTTAGACCAAAATAAAAAACTTAATTTCAGGAAATTTAGAGCTCACCTTAAGCAGTATCTAGAGCCCATTGTTAAATAAGGCACCACCAGACTAAGTAACCAGCAACTTCTGTTACAATCCCCTCACTTGATGATAGCATATGAAGCTCAATAGGAATCTCTTATACACCCCACTCCTTACCTTCAGCCAATCAGCAATCAAAATACCTGCAAGTTGCAGCTGTTAACAATAATCACATCACTTGAATGAAATGAATGATCATATCCCTGTTTTGACTATGCCTGCCAATTAAAATAATATGATAATAATAATAATAATAAATTAAAATGAATTACAACTAATTTCAAAATGTTTTGACAGGTAACATAAATTTAACTTTATATGGTTAAAATGAAAAATTTTCAACAAAATATTATTTATTTTATTAAACAGTTAAATTTACCTGAAGATGTTAGGTTATACCAATGGCAATCATGTTTAAGCGTTACATCAGGAGGAAATTGCTGACAATTTGTATTTGTTCTCAATGCGCTTGAACCTCTTTACAGGGTTTCTATCCTTTCTGACCAGTGAATTTTCATGACAGTTATTTAGTTTTTCATCACTATGAGCTCACATCAATAAAATACAATGCCTTGCCTTTTCCATGCTGAACTTGGTAAAGAAAGCAAAGCAGAGTTGATATAATTGATCATATTTATATGGACAACTAGCATTTTGTGTTAAAGTTCAGATTGCAAAATATTCATTGTGTATAATATACAGTAATGGCCAGGCTCCACATCCACTATATTATGAAGCGAGTGCTTTCGAAGAAGGAGCTTCTAATGCATCAAGCTGAAGTACTGACATGTGTTCACAGCATGAGGTTTCATACCTTAAGGGGGTATGAAAGCCATTAATGCAGTCTAATACATAGCCTTCCCTCATACCCTCATACCCACATGCATACACGAACCACTCTGACAATTTCCCATTCCCACCAGTGCACATTTGATAGATAGGGATCATTACTGTCATTCCTGCAGTCAGCAGGAAGGAGAAGCATTTGTCTCCTGATACCAGGTACTTTAAAAGGTGAGGAGATCTGTCACACCGTCCTACTTTTCCTTGGCATGTCATTTCATCCTTTACATTGTCCCTCATTTATTCCTCCAACCAGGGGTGAAGAGGGAATGTTGGAACTGAGTAATTTCCTATATATTAACAGAATACCACATGAGCTCTTCACCTGCCATTATTGATAGTGATGCGACTGTGTGACCTTTACATGGAGCTGTGATTAAGAGTCAAGTTTACGATAAAATGTATGAAAATAACTTGGTGACTGTTAATATAGGGCACTTTCTGCTTTCTGTAGAAAGGAATCGATGAAATAAATGCCTGATTCCTGTTAAGATCTGTTTAGAAACAAATGAAAAAGGACACGCAGGTTTTTTTTTTCTTGCTAGCATCATCAGAAATCATTATTGTGACACAAATAAAGTGACTCGGTATGGAAACAATGAATAGAAATGAAAAAGTTTTTTTTTCAACAGCAATGAGCCTCATTAATCAGAAAACATGTATCCAGGAAAACACACTCTATCCGTCCTGCTCTGAATCCTTTGTTTTATCTGGCACTTATGAGGACATCTTTGAGAATAAGCTCCAGTAATGGCCAGCCACACTTGGCAAATTCCATCGTCAGCAGATTCTCCTTAGCAAGCAGTGACATACAGGAGAGAATGTCCCATTGTGTAGTGTGAATCTATTCATCATCGGACATTCAAGGATTCTTATTATAAAACTTGGACTAGATATTGTATTTCCCATCTTACATTCTGCACCACCACCACTATACAGATCTGAATTTTAGACAATTTAATCTTTAATCTTTAAATTAATCTTACTAAAACATGTTTAGGTCATATGTCACCCTAATAAATCGTACTAAACATTTTTTTCTCCATTTCATTACCTAATATATGTCCAAGTTTTTAAAAAATTGTTTTGTTTTATTTCTCATCATTCACTTTGGAGATTTTCACTAAATTCTCACTGTAAGAGCTATAATAGACTGTAACCTATAGTAGGGGAGACTGGAGATGGTTGTAACATTTTTGACATTTCTGTCTGCATTTTGGAGTTATTTTAAGCCAGTCCATTCAAAATGTCATTCAAATTAGTTACAAGTGTCAGCTATTAAACGTCACAAACAGAAAATGAGTGGTTGAGTTTCAAACATGGGGAGTGAAATGTTACAATTCACCCTAAAGTCCGGGTTAGTTGTAACACCATGGGGTGATATGTAACATTATGAAATAAGGATTATGAAAAGAAAAAAAAAGGATTTTGAAAGCTTTTTATTTAACAAAGGCCGATGTGTTGAGGCAAGTTGGAGCTAAACTCTGCAGGACAGTGGCCCTCCAGAACCGAGTTTGGACACCCCTGACCATAGGCATACTGAAGTTCAAAGATAACAAATAAATAAACAAAAAATGTACTTGGGGTAGGTTGTGAGATGTTTAATTAATGTTACAACTAACCCAGCGTCCTGTAGTCATGAACTAGCTCACAGCTAACAGCCAAAACATTAGCACTAACAACTTGCATGAAAACTTGCATATCTACATAGACACAAAATAAACATAATTTAACTTTTATGAGTTGAACTACAAAGGGAATTGCCATAAAATAAAGTAAAAAAAAGTTACTTTTCTACATCAAAATGAGATTTTCTGCTCTAAAATGTGCTGTGTCTGTCACAGGGCTTTACTTTCTCGCATGTGGATTATAAAGACTAAACTGAGGATGTGTGAAGTGAATCAGGCGATGTGTAACTTGGAAAATAAAGAAATTGGAAGTGTTTCAATTAACCTGTGTTACAACCATCCCCAGTCTCCTGTACTACTGTCATTTCATGGAAAAAAGCGGGGGACATTCTGTCAATATATTATTTTGTGTTCCAAGAAAAAAAAGTAATTTCAACATGGAGTACTAGCAGTAGACTACAAAAAATCTTACTTTGTTACTGTACTTAAATGTGCAATATGTAATAATTTTAATGTATTCATATTTTTTTTTTATATTGCCAATATGTGACCAGCTTGTAAAGAAACTTTAAAAAATGAGACCTTTCCTCACTTCCTATAGGTTGTCAAGCCTGTAGACTGATTTTTATGTGAAGGACATTTGTACTGAGAAAAGCAAAAGGATGTGACGTTTACACACACTCCCAAGAACCTCTATGACACATGAAACAAATGCTCGTTCTATGACACATGAAACAAATGCTTATACAATGTTCAGGAAAATGCCGAAAGAGCCATTCTGTACTGTAGTGTCAATGTGTCATGCAAAAAAAAAAAAAAAAAAAGGATTAATTTAAACTATCTCACATATTCAGATCTATAGTCTATAGTTTCAAATAAATTTTAATCAAACTATCATAATAGTGTAATTTTAATTACCTCATCTGTGGACATGATGCCGGTGAATTGTAGAGCTGGTGCATTCTGGTTGTGTGTTTATTTGTTTTTGAGAGGAAAGGACGCAGCACATATTTACATATTCATCTAAACATCCCTCTCAGCAGTGTGGACAACGTCAGGATGCTCGTTAATCGCTCCAAATGTATTTCCAATTTCTTTTTATTTCTAAGCGAAGAGCAAAAAAGAAATTTGCTGTGAATATATCGGGGTCTTGAATCATGTTCAGTCTCTTGTTACGTGCAATTGCTGATGCAGGTCACTTCTCTCCAGACCCCATTTTGTTTTTTTGTTTTTTTGCTCAAAATGTTACTTTTTTTATGAAACTTACCCATATTCAAGTGTTGATAAAAAAAGAATGTATGAAGCTAAAACTTTTTAAAAAAAATTTTTTATCAGAGGGTCTGTTCTTTCTTTTGATATATTGCATGTTCAGATATTCAGACAACAAAATATATTGGGGGACATGACATTTTTGTGAAAATTATCAAAAACGCTGGCGGTGGCTGGCAACTTTAAATAAAAAAAAGCTGGCGGAGAAAAAGTTAAAAACCAAGAACCTTTGTACTCTTACTCACGTAAAATTGAAAAGGAGTACTGGTACTTTTATTACATGCGACCCTGTAAAGAAAATGGCGAATGGATGGATATTTTTTTAGGGTATCTTTTACTCAAGTTCTTGATTTGTGTACTTTGTCCACAACTGATATTTGCACCCGCTATGGCTTGGTTCCCTCCTTCACTGTGTGTTTACAGTTTTTTTCAATTGCTTACACACTAAAATTAAAACTTTCCCACTATTAGCAAAACCTTACACTCAAGGAGCAAAACGCCAGCCTAGATTTGCACAATTGTAAGCACGTTGTCAGCTTCACCCTTTTTGCAAAACATTACACACAGTAATTTGTAAAACTCTACACACATTTTCACACCTTAGACACAGATAAGGATTGTGAGGTTACTTCCTTGTCATTACAAAGCCCCGGTTTGCCATTGACCACACTAATGAATGAATTGGATATGCACATCCACCAGGTGTGGAAGCACACATGTGCTAATTTGAAAACGCAGCACTCAGGTGTGCTATAAAAGGCAGCAGGTTCACCTGTCTTCAAGTTCACCTGTCTTCAACAAAAATGGAAGGAGCTAGAAGAAGATGAAGAAGAAGAAGAAGAAGAAGAAGAGTGAGAATAAGAGGGGGAGCTCAAAGAGGAGGTGAAGGAGGTAGAGGAAGAGGAGAAGGAGGTAGAGGAAGAGGTGAATGAGGTAGAGGAGGAGGAGAAGGAGGTAGAGGAAGAGGTGAAGGAGGTAGAGGAGGAGGCCCAGGTAGAGGAAGAGGAGAAGAAGGAGATAGAGGAAGAGGAGAAGGAGATAGAGGAAGAGCCCTAGGTAGAGGAAGAGGTAGAGAAGGACTTGAAGAGTTGATAGAACCTGAACAAAGAAGACGAGGACCAAATTTGACTCAAGAAATACGTGCAACACTTATTGACCATGTTATCAACAATGGACTGACACTGATGGAAGCTGGACAAAGAGATCAACCAAATCTCTGGTTGATACTGTAACTGAATAGTTACAGTATTCTTGTTGCTTTTACAGTAGTTTTTATCAAACTGTATGTAGTCAAACTGTTGTACTTCATGCAG